CCCCCTTCCTAAAATAAACAAACACCCTCCACCCCCAAAACCCCTTCCTCCAAAGGAAAAAAAAAAAAGAATAATTAATGTTTTGCCACACATTCTATAAGCCTATAGAAAAATCTCTAAGCCTACAGAAACCTGGGACAACGTTGGTGTAGCTTCTGTTGGGGTCTCCGGAGTGCTACACCGGAGGGAGGTGTGTTAACTGATCATCACCATGATCCGTGGGAAAGTCAGACACCAATACCCCGTAAGTACTGGGGAAAACGACCCTCCCTTTTCTCACCTCTTCTGGAGCCAGCGGAGAGCTGCCGTCAGGGTCCTCTTATCCTGAGAGGTTGAACAAAGGTGCCAACACCGACAGCACTAGGACCTAGCTTTAAGGAAAAGGAAGTTATATCCTGGGCATTTTAGTGACTTTTATTTCCTAATTGAGACTGATGATTTTTTTTTTCCCCTTAAGTTTTTAAACTGAAATTGTGAATCTCCAAAACATACACACTCCAGCAAGGAGCTGGAGGTAGTCAGCTCAGATTTTCCACAGAATCAGTGTTTTACCTTTTGATTGATCAAAGGCTCCATCAGCACAGACTGAGTTACCATTATGTCTTTGTGCTTTGATTCATGCTTGCAGAAAAATTATATGTTATGTAGGTAGATCAACATATTTTCACACTCATGCTGAATTGCAGAGGATTTCTTGAAATTTATAAACAGATGTGATTTCAGGGCTGCCTTCAGAGACTTACAGGTCCCTTTGGAGATCCGCATAACTTTCTGCATTGGAGCTTACCCTTATGATCCATCTTGCTCTGGAAGATGTTCCACATATAGTATTTCCTTGGGTAGAGGGGGTGAGTATCTCCCATGGGTGTCTGCCTTTACTGTCATCTCCACCGAGCTCAGAACAAGAAGAAACCAAGAAGGAGAGCAAAGCCATCTGGCCCATGATGAGAGCTACTCGAGTGCTACCAACTTTGTCTTGGAAATTCCACCAAAATCCCTGGATGTTGTTGCAAAGAGCAACCCCCCAGTATGACCTGCACGGGAAGGGAGAGGAATGGATATCCATATTGACATTTGCCCCTTTAATGCTGCACTAAAACTATAATCACCGGTTCATCTCCATCACACGCTCCTTTTTCATCTCTCCCGTCTGTATGTCTCTTGGAAGAAGCACATAAGCCTGGATGTTGAAAGATGCTTAATGTTTCTTATGGGATTGAATACCCCCCCAGCACTTGCTGTCAGGAGAGAAAAAAGCTCAAACTTGCCTCACCTGCTTCGTACGTGTTGCCAGTACCTTCCAGGATTAAACCATCATAAACTCCTTAGGCAGTCGTGAAATAAAATAAACACAAGTGTGATTTTCTGGTCAAAAGTAAAAATAAGAAAAGCCCACGTGCCAAACGCAAATGCTTTTTGGAATTGCGAGTGCCAGGGAGATTTATAGGATGATTTTTAAATGAGGATGCTTGATCTATGTGCCCAGACTTTTCTGATGCAGTTTTTTGGTCTCTCGCTTCGCCATTGAGCTACTCCAATCATTAGCAACTTTTGCCTGTTTTAACCTTAACTTTCAAAAGACTCCTGTAAACTTCCAGAGTAAGCACAGAGCCATAACTCTCTGAACTACTAAAGGAATCAAACTGATGCAATTTATTTCCACAGAACCATGCAATATTCAATGATACACTGAATCCATGTTTTTAACACTTTTTAAAGGACTAAAACTCTGGAAAGAATTAATTAGGCATGCTCTGAAGCCTGAGCATTTAACAGTTTTCCACTCGGTTGTAGAATTTTAAGACCACCAACACTGGATACTGGCAAAGATTATCAAAGGTATTCTGGGCTGAAATACATACTAGTCAGAGGGCTTGGCCACCAAGCAACTGGAAAATACTTCATGAAAGCTTTAGCTGTGCTATTATATTTTGTAAAGAAACTTTAAGAAAAAATCCATAGTCTCTAGAAGGTTAAATTTGGGGCAGAGTGACTCACTGGGAAAGTATGTACTGCACAGAATATTGTCTTCTCTGCAGATCAAGCAAATTGTTAATACAGCAGAGAGGTATTTATGGTCCCAACACTGCAAAGCAGGGTTGAGAGGGATTAATGGGCTGGGATCTGCACAGGATCCGGCCAGTGCATGTGCACAGGGACACGGGGCTGGATGGAGCAGCCCCTGCAGCCACCAGCCACACACCTGGAGCTGAGCAACATTTGGAATTATTAGAAGCTGGGAGATCCTGGCACAAAATGTCTCTTGTTGTGCTAAAGTGAGACGAAAATCTACAATTTAAAAAAAATCCAAGCAAAATGGTTTGGGTTTTTTTTTTAGATTTTGTCATCAGAGAAAATTTCAGTTCCATTTTCTGGAAGTGTCCTGATTTTTCCAACCATTTCTGTTGCCTACTACAGTATTACAAAGAAAGCTACACGTGCCAAAACAGCCACCATTTGATAAGGTCTTTAACATAAGCCCACAGCAATACTGCAGAGAACTCATTTTACGTGACAAAAAACTCAAACAGAAAAAGATCCTTATTTAAGCAGCCGATGCCCAGAAGCATGATGGATGCTGTGCAAGACAAAGTTGGGACAGACATGAGATATTTTGGTTAAAAGCAAGAAAATTCAGCAGCCAAAATTTAAAACAAAACCAACCAAACAAAAAAACACCAACCAAACACCAAAAAAAATCTCTCCCCAAAAAAAGATCCCAAGCAACTGGCCAAGGGATTCACAAAGTTTCTATCCTTGATTTTAAAAAAAATGATTAAAAACTCAGGCAAGGAACTTGATTTATCTTGCTTTGTGCTCTCTAGGTACTGAATAAAATGGACCCATCTCAGTAAATTTTGCTATAGCTCTGTAGTGTGCAGAACTAAATTTTGAACATTATGGATGTTAAACTGGAGGTTAACCATGGACATTCCAACCGCAGACAGCCAAGGACCTCCAGACTCCGCACTTTTTTTCCTCTCACATGTATGCAATTGCTGACGGCAGTAGCCAGGCCGTGTTTCTCACTCGTTACCATGACCCGTCCCGCTCGCGATCCTGTGTTCCGTGACCAAGGGTTGCACGGGGCGGAGCTGAATGCACCGCTGTTCGAAGCAGATCTGCTGGGTTTGCTGTGCCAGACTGATGACACGCGGTGAGACACCCCCACGTGTCACCAGCTACCGCTGAGGTCATCGAGGGCGTGTTGCAGGGACAAAGAGGGAAGAACGCTCAGATGGTCTCATAACACAGCATATTTAATTGAAATAGAAACCTCGTACATTACAACATACTCACGTACATTGTATATTACACCATATTCAAAGATGGGCAGTTTCCTAAGGTGCAGACAAATCCACACAACTCCCATGGAAGAAGGATTAAACTAAGAAACAAACAAAAATTTTAATAAAGTAACTAAAGTCTTCCACTTTAGTCTTCCACTAAAATCAATAAATACGTACATAAATGTATATATACACACCAAATACACATATAAGGCTATAAAGTCCAATTTTCATTTGCAGTGAGGTGAATTTTCATTGATGGGGTGGTGAAGAGTGGCCTTCAGTCAAAATTAACTACATTGCCTTATGTCAGGACACTGTAAAGGAGTTTGTTCAAATGAAAATGAGGCCTCCACCTCAATGCAAAGCACATACACACAATGCTTTAAAATGAAAGCCCCAGTGTACCAGGCAGAGGTAACCTAATGGAGTATTTCTGCACACAGGAGATCAGCTCTTGAAGTCCAAAAATACCATGGAGGGGAGTATGCAAATCCCTACGTTTTCTTTACTTTTTATTTCTGAAAGAGTCACTTGCTCATATTAAATGCTCTTGAATCCTCCAATGCAGAGGAAGGGGAAGAGAAAGAAAAATGTCAGTGTTTGCAATTCTAAAACTCACCCTATCAGGTTCAGCAAAGGACAAGAATTCAAAAGCTTGAATAGACTTGGAGTTTCAAAGAAAATTACCCAGATGTGGAGCTATCTGTCTTCCTCAGGTACAATCCCTGGAGTTTACCTGCATCTGCTCTGCTAAGGGGATCACAGCATTTCTTGCAGACACTGCAGCGAGGTTTCGGGTCCCTCTCTCTGCTGCATCTTCTAAGGAGATGCATTCAATCCTCCTCTGACCTGCACCTCTCAGCTACGGCAGCAGAGATGGTCTTTGAGGGTCTTCCAGGCTTGCTGCAAACAATCAACCGCAGCACAAGGCTTGCCCATCTATTTAAGGACTGGCATGCTCATCTCCTGGTATCGCCACTGGATTCGGAGCTTCCCCATTTTATTTTTTGAGGTGAATAATTCTTTAAATAATTTTTAAAAATCCGTAAGAATACATTTTCCACTTTTTAACATAGCTGTAATAAATTTTAATTAAAGTAACTGTGTCTAGGTGTGGGACAGTCCCCCTGATAAGACACAGCTCCTTATTTAACTGTATGGTCTAACTGTGGATTTCACGTGATGAAGGTTCATAGCCAGGACCCATCAGTTCCTGAGGAGCAGAAGAGATCTTTCGCTGCTTCTGCTGTCTTACCTGGTGGCATGCTCCATCATCTCATAAATCTCTCCTTGAGGTTACAAAGTTTTTCCTAACATATAATCTGAATGCTCCCTGCTGTTTAGTCTATCCTTGCTGACTAATGAGAAGATCTGATATCTCACCTTATTAAAACATCCTTTCTTGCGGTTGTAGACAGCATTTTTCCCAGACTGAACAGACTAATTTTTCTGAGACACTTCTTAGAAATCCTCCTCAAATTACTTTGCATTGCTAGTGCTCATCTGTGCATCCTTTCCCTCGGTTCCCATTAAAAACCCAGTATTGTGCAGTAAAAACACATGTTTTGAGGCAAACCACTCCGGATATTTTGCCCTGTGCATGCTGTCCTTTACAAGAAACATCTTATTTACATTATCTACACGTATAGCAGCCATCCACGATACAGCTGGATCCCTCCCGGGAAGCCAGCAGCATCACTGGTGCTTTCACATCCCCAAAGTCAGCTCTTTCTCCATCTCTTTCTTCTCACCCCAGGCCGTACCGCTGGGCTGCAGTGGTGGGATGACACACACCGACTTGGACCGGTTCTGTTTCACTTCCCGAACCGTTTCTGCATTCCCCACTGCAGGAAGAGAAAAACACCGACTTGTACGGGAAATATCCTCCTTGGTGGGTCAAAAGGAATAAAGAAATACGAGAGCTACTGAGGTGGTCATTTGCTCATTGGGGATGAGCTACTCCACTGCAAGGATCACTTTTCAATTAGAAAACAGAAGACAAAGATCAGTGTTTCAATAGAAGGAAAAGAAAAAAAAAAAAGACAATTTAAAACCTATTTTGTACTTTGAAATATGTTACGTATCTGGATCAATATCATCATTCTTTTGTCAGTCCCCACCAGCAAATTGCAGAAGAAAAATCCTTATCAGTGACTACCTTAAAATAGCTTTTCGAGATGCAGGTGTCCTGCTGGAGCACCTATAATTTCATGTTACCACATTAAATGGTTTTTCTGGAGGGATGTACATGTGATCACGATGGAAAGGTTACAGTCTCCATCAGCCCTGTCACCAGGGTATGTCAGGGGCCCTTGAGCTCACATTTTCCCTGGGGCAAAAAAAAAAAAAACCAAAACACACAGAAACATGTCTTTTTATCACTTTGCTCCACTTACACTCATTTTTATTTCAGGAAGAACATAGTTGAAACATTTATAATAAACCATGGATTAAAATAGCTACATCCCCAGCAGATGTCCACATTATAAACACACAGTGCCACAGATCTGTGTCCCTTCCATCTACTCTTGCAAACCTGTAGTAAGATACCTTTGTGGCACCTATTCTATGGCTCTTTATTTAGCAAGTTTTTAGTTAATTGTTTAAAGAAAATCACAAAGGAAAAAAACACAGGAGAAATAGGACACAAAAAAAGACTAAAACATTCTTGTTTCTTAAATATTTTTCCAGTACATGTGTAATAAAGAAATAATCTGTATGTTCGTGTTAGACCCATCCTCTTAACCTACCTCAGATCATATTAGGAGGCAACATTGGTTTTTTGCTATTTTCAAGAACACCTGAATCTTTCCAAGCATCACTTTTACAGACGTGATTGCGCTAAAAGGTGCTGTGCCAAGTATTGTAAAAATGCGGTGCTCGGTGTCCCACTGAACATCTCATTGTGATTCAGAGGCTAAAATGACTCTGTCTACAGTTTTGACCAGCTATACTTTGTGTGAGGTTTCACTGACAATAAACTATTTTTTTAAGGTGTAAAATCTAAGCTCTCAGTCATCTAAAAACTGTGCTTGGGCTTACAAAAACATGAAGTCTTGAGCCACTGGTCTTTCTCTAACAGATACCCAGACAGCGCTGCTAATGGGGGACTCAAAATGCATTTTAATTATACTTAGCAAGAAAAAAAGGAGATCTTAATCTTTGGAAAGCATTTGGGCACAAACTTCATGTCTTGAAATATCACTCATTTTTATAAGGTTTTAGTTTATGCATTAGTGTCACCACAGGCAGAAGGATCTGCAATTACTGCCAAGCATCTCAGTGCTTGGTGGAATATGAAGAAGAGTACCAGTTTCCAACGCTTGCCGAGCTGGACACGGGAGACAAGAAGACTGTACATTCACACACCCCCTTGCAGCACACAGATAATAGGGAGCTCTGACACCTGGACTGGGACACACTTCTCACGCTCTGGTTCCCAGCACCACTGCCTGTCCCAGAGGAGCTGCCTGGAGCACCCCCGCTGCCAGCAGTGCACCCCAGTGCACGCTGAGTCTTGTCGCTGGTTGGGCTGAGGTGGGCACTGGGGCTGGGATGGCTCTCGGCTCTGCTTCATCACTCATGATGCTCATCTAAGGAGCCCCACTTTGTCCCCCGGGCTGGAGCGATGCCCCTGCCACCCTGGCTTTGCCTTGGCTGTCTCCCAAATCCCAGCCCTGCAACGGACATGCCACAGACCTCAGCACATCCCCCCTGTCGCCTGCTGGGCCATCCCATGGGAACGGGGCAGGATGAGCAGGGAAGGTAGGAAATCCCCGCCGGCACCCACCGGCTCCCCAGCTTACCGGTGAAGGAGCGGCAGAGCTTGGGGTGCGTGCTGGAGTCGCCCTGTGCCGAGCAGGAGTCATCCTTCTGTGATTAAGGAAGAAAAGTACTTTAATGCATTTACGAAGATCGCTAACAAGTCTGTTAATGACACTCCTGCTTCATAAACAAGCCATTTGCAGTCCCCAAGGACTCCGCTTCCATTTGTTTTAATTTTGCCAAGAAAAACAAAAAGAACTGTTGCTAAAAATAGACCAGATAGATGGCAGGAAATATTTACAGACACTGATTTGTTTTGGAGTTGGTGGAAGAGGCCTGAGCTCGCCAGGAGTGATTTGGCAGATAGGATGGGAAGGAGCAGCCCTGGAGTGGGGAGGACGGAGCAGGTAAAGCGTCGTCGGGGCATGAGCGCTTCTCACCTTGCATGTTCCCCACCTTGGCTGCAGGCCAAGGAGGCAGGTAACGAGCTTGCACTAACGAGCTCCCTGTCCTTTCACTCCAGTGCTAATCTCCACCCTTCAGGAAGATTAAAAAAAAATAAAATAATTCAGGTAGCACAATGCTGCCTGAATTGTTCGGTGCTTCTGTAAACTGGGAATAAGTCTCTTACGCAGCTGTGATTTGGCACCTCGGTCCAGCATCCCAGACTGCCAAAATAACTCTGGACACCTCCCAGCCTCTTTTTCTGTTTTGTTTCAGTTCATTCTCCTCCCTCCCCTAACAAGGACCGATGCCCTCCATCCCTTGTTCACACTTTTATTGACCATTTTAATAACAATGCCTTCCCGGCTCCAGCAGCAGTGCCCAGCTCCCTGGAAAGCCATTCCCAGGGGCATTTAACGATTCTCAGAGCATGCTCCATGAAAGGGCTCCAGCATAATTACCAAAGGCGGTATGTCATTTACGCACATGGCTTACAGGCAGCTCCAAATAAGCTCCTTCTGGGGGACTGTACTCCTGTTTTGGCAGAAGAAAAGAGGATGAAGTTGCCTGGCTACAGGTGCAAGGATTTTCTGGGTGCTCGGTGGTAAATAAAAGCTATCCTGGGTCTCAGAAACCACCCTGCTGGGGTACTCTGCGATGGGTCCCTGCCTAAAATAAGCCAAACCCAAAATCCAGACAGCATTCAGAGCCAGCATGATGTACAGCTCCAGGAAGCAGCAGCCTTCGATGGGAATTTTGTCCTTAGGTGGAGGAAAGCAAACTTTCTGCTGGAAATAGTCTTGGAGTTAATCCTCTGGGCTATGATTCAGATCCTCTGGGCTACGGTTCAGATCTGAAGTCACCTCGCAGTCTTGCCAAGGTTTTTCTGCCTGGTGCAAATCATATAACCTGCGCCGTTGGCTCGGGAGGGTTGAGGATTGTTCTCTTCTTTCTTCTTCCCTCCGCCCTCCCCATTCACACCCTAACCTCTCCGTGGCAGGGGCTTCTAATGCAGCCTGAGAGTCATCTCTGGCCGCTGTAAAAGCGAAGGAGGACACCTGAAGTGCAATAGGCCCCTAAGGCACCTAAAGGTACCCAGGGTAGAGAGAAGAAGTGATCCGTCCCGGCTGAAGCCTGGTGTTGCCATGGATTGGTGCCTGTCCTGGTAACGGTACCAGCTTCCCCACACCGACTGTGGAAGGAGATGGGTTGTCCATCAGGTGAGATGAGTTTCGTTTCTGGCTCCTCCCCAGCCTGGTGTGGCCACAGACCTATAGAAAGATGCTCTTCCACACACACCTTATTTTTGTGGTGACTGCCAGAGAGGGAGAAGATCAACCAGCACCTAATAATTTTTGAGCTGAATCTAACTGAGCTACAACAGCTTTGTATTTTAATAACAAATGACTAAGCAACTTCACTAAAAGGTAAAAAATACATATATGCAGACAGCCAAGAAGCAGAAAAAGCAATAAAAAAGCTGAACCAAAGGGATTTTTCAATTACTCGCTCATACCACCTAACCCACTGAACGTACCGACAAAACTTTTTCCAAATGGACTGCCCATGGAAGACACACCGGCTTTTGACCAGCACCAGAGGTTTCCCAGACGCCCTTTGCTTGAGGTTTGTTTCACAATTCCTTGATTTCCAGCTGGGTTTGCAAACGCAATTGTAATGCTTCCATCTCGTGGTGAAACGCAGAACGGAACAATGTGTGGCATGAGACTCTAGTTTTTCTTGCTGACTCAAAACCTGCAAGGTCAAAACCTTCTCTTCGGGACTACAGAAGATGGAATATGTGACAACTAACTCGCTATATTTTTCACTCATTCGATGTCATTTGCTTGACAACTTGGCATGAAACTAACAAATCTGAGAGGCTTAATTTTTTCTAAAAAAATTAAAATATTGAGCTGCTTTTAATGGGCTGAAATTTAA